ACTAACTTAAAGTTAATTAAGGGGTTAATTAAGCAAATTCTCCTGGAGTTGTCCTGCTCACCCAGATTCTGTGGTGAGATGACCACCGTCATGCCCATCACCCTAGTCAATGAGCAACAGGAGAGGTTGCTGGAGAAGCAGCCAGCAAGGGAGAACAAATGGACTAGAGAAATGTTCATAAATAACGGGGGGTTACTGGGGAGGGCGGGCCCATCTCTCGCGCACCACAGGCTGTTCAGTGGGGGCTGTTGCCAGAATCCAAATTCTTGTTAGTGAAGGGCAGAAATCTGCAGAGGAGGGCGGGGGTGGCAAGCAAGGCAGGGAGAGGTCTTTAGCACTGCAAGGGCAAGCGCTTTCCCCTTCAGACTCACGTCACGCACCAAATCTTGTAGGAGTCAGAAATATTCACACAAACCTTTTAATTTGTGGGAGGTGATGGTGCTGGGAAGATGGGAACTCCAACACAGCCACATTTATCTGGGCCTGCCAGTTAATCTGGAAAGATGTAGTTAATGGCGCCCAGCCACCACGACTCCAATAACAATTATAAAAACGTCCAATAAAACCTTGCATGTAATGTCAATTAAAATCTTGAAAAGCAGAATTAAGTGGGATATTGACATTAAACTTTACTGTTTCCTCTGCAGAGCACAAGTACCATCAATAAAAGTCTTTTTGAATGAGGAAAAGAATGGTAAATATTAAATAAAGGGAAGTGTGTGAGGGTGCCTGCCAGCCAGCCAGCCACTAAAAAGAGCAACACTGGGCCTTGTTCTCCCTGGGCAGACTCTGCTGGGACAGCAGCTCATGCAGGGATTGCAAACTTCAGCTAAGGGCCAATAAGATGGACATGTTTAACAATAGGCCATTATCAGTCTCTCACTGCACGCAGCAGCTTCCTTACACAGCGTTGACTGGCTATATGGCAAAACTTGGATGTTCTCCTTCCCGTTACGGCAAACAAATCGTCACGTTGCACATTAAGTGTTGGCTGTCAGAAGAGGCGTTGGGCCTCTCCGTGGCTCTATGCCGGAGGACTGTGCACCGTGGCCAAGCTGAGGAAGGGGTCCTGGAACCTCCACCTAGAAGGTCCTCAGGGCGGGGGGGCTGCCAACAGGTTTCCTCGTGATGGATGCATTTCTCAATATCAGTTTACTTCCCATGTTTCCCACCTGAGGTTCCTTTGCCAGCCTCTAAGGACTTTTTACATGCGTGCATGAAAATGTGCACGTATTTTCACTCATAGTTCTTTTAACAAAGTTGTGAGCGCTTTATCTTTTTTACGAAGATACACAGATTTGCCCACAATCTCCCTACAATGCCCACATTTGCATGTATATTTGGCCTGGAGATCCACTCTGCAAGTAGCACAAGGACAACTCTGTGAGGTAGGTTAGGCTGAGCATCCAAACTGGCCTGGGGGCTCCCTGGCCGAGTGGGGACCAGAACCCAGGTCCCCCAAGCCCCAGCCCCATGCTCTTAACCGCTGCAGCATATGGGGATATCCGCCCCAGGTGGCAGGCTGGCCTTCTAAGGAGCAGCCCGTGGTGCTGAGCCCAATTCCCAAAACAGGTTCAGCCCACAGAGAGCACCTCTAAAGTCCAGACTGGAACCCCGCATGGATGCCCCACGTCGCTGGGCATGGTGCCACCCATCGTGCGTGCTAAGGGGGCGGCCGCCCGTTCCGATGGGAACACACACTCAGAATGCAGGGAGGAGACCCTTGCGGAGCCTCAGCCTGTCCAGGCAGCGGGCCAAGGTCAGGGGATGCCCGAGAAGATACGGGGAAGGAGCTGGCAGTTCAGGCAGAGGACCGCCTGGGTCAGTCCAGCCGTGGGAATGAGGGAGGGGAGGGGCTGGCGAGAGCCCCAGACTTCTATCGTGGGGGGCACTCAAATCTGGAGGCTCTCCTGGAACGGGAGAGGAGATGCAGACCTCCGCGGTTTGTCGGACATGAGGCCCCTCCTCCCGAGGAGCGGGCCGTGGTCACTGGGTGCCAGCCCTGGCCGGGGGCTCAACTGGGTGGAAGGCAGGGAGAACACAGCTGCGCACAATTTCACAGCATCCCACCTTCTGGAGCGAGATGCCAAAGGGGCATAAAAATGTAAGGGAACAACCGATGTTGAAGGGGGCTCAGCGTGGCACTCTGGGTGAGCTCACAGGCGTGTGACAATAATGTCTATTGGAAAAAGGCGATCCGGAGTAGCGTGTTTACTCAGGAGGAGGACCCGCGCTCACGACACCTCCGGCCACGGCTGTGAGGCCTTTTTCCTTTTGAGAGGCTAGCAGCAGGGACTGGTGCTACTTCTTTATGTCCCACCTTATTTTCCTTTTGAGGAACTCAGGACAGCTTAAATAGTTCTCTTCCTCCTCTCCATCTTATCCTTATAACAACAGCCCTGGGAGGTAGGCCCAAAGTCACCCCGCAGGATCCATGGCTGAGTGGCAACTTGAACCTGGGTCTCCTTACCAGCCTCTTCCAAAAGCTTGTTTTGGCAGGGCAGTGGGGTAAATAAATATTCTTCCCATTAATTCTTCAGTGCCTGATGCTTTAACAATTATTTTCACCCTATTAAAGACACCTGCATGTCCTCTGCTAAAAATGTACCGATAACAACTACAGAACGGGTGGCAAGGCCGTTGGGCAGCCCCGCCAGGTCCCCAGGGGTTGCAAGCTGCAGTTTTTGCAGGAGCCTTTGCACTCAGCACCACGACTGAAATGAAACCAGCGCAATTCTCGCTCCCGGCTGAATCTCGCCTCTGCCGCTTCCACTCTCAGTTGCTGCCGATTCCCCCTCGTTTCTCCCTTCCTTTTGCTTCCCACCTGGCAAAATGCACAGAGCATGTTCTTTGGGGCAGGGACAAATGAGACCCAGGCAGCTTTGGAACATTCATGATGTGTGATGACTCGTGGCTGTTTTTTGGGGAGCCAAGAGCAAATTCTCGGCCAGCATGGTCCTGGCTGGTGGGTACTTGATGCCAGAACCGCCAGGATGCTAATACAAGAGATCTGCCACAGCGAAGATGGACAATGTTGCCATTGTGATATGGCACCATGCTTTATTGCTTGAATAGACTGGTGAGTCCTCTTTGCCCTTCAACAAGCCGTGATGCAAAAAACCGCCCCCACCAAGCACCTGCCCCTGGGAGACCTAAGCAAGCCCGCTGGCTGCGAGCACGAGGGCTGGCCCGCCTGGCCCAGGGGTGATCCGCAGCATCATGCGCAAGGGGGCACACGAAGGCGGGGCCACTGGCCCCGCATGCCCCTCTACTCAGACGTAACGAGATGTTTCCAGGGGGCCTCTGGAGCATGAACAGAAATTATTCCTGCCCACATGTCAGCCTTTTAAAACTCCAATCAGCCTCTTTATGGTTTACCATGGGAGTTTATGCATGTTGCTCCCTGGTTTATACACCACATGTAAAAGCCCTTCCTGCTCCTGCACAGGTCAGGGGCAACTCCAAAGCCCTGTGAGCTGTAAATGGAGGCACAAAGTGGGAGCTGGCTGAAATGTTTCATTAAGGATGTAGGTTTATGGGTGGTTTTTAAACTTCAGTCAGCATGGGGGGAGGGAGAACTGGAGAACTGAGTCTGCGAGAGCCTGGAAAAGTGTCCGAAGGCAGGCAGCACACAGGTCCTACCAGTCTGGACCACTGCGCATGCCCTTGACGGGAGAGGGGCCAGCAAATGCCCACGCATGAGCTGCTCTGGGCTCTTGGAAGCCAGTGTGTCTGTGTCTGCGTCCGTCTAGCCCAGTGCTGTCTGCTCTGACTGGCAGCGCTGCTCCAGGATCTCAGGAAGACAGAGGCCCTCCTGGCTTGCTCCCTGGTCACTTCCAGTGGAAACCTTTGCATTCAAAGCATGAGTGTGGAGTTGTGCCACCACATCATCCCTGAATTATGGCAGAATTAGACTGGGGGGCAGGGGCATGTGCATGTGTGGGGCGTGACAGTTCAGTGAGCCCTTTAGGAAACTGGCTGGCATCATTTCCGTCTTCCTGGAAGAGAACGCTCGGTGGCCTCCGAGAGCAGAAGGCATGCCGTCCAGAGATGGCATCCCACAGACCATGCAAGCAGGCAGTGCCTTGCACAGATAGCACCGAAATTCCCTTTCAAAGGGGCGGAACTGAGACCCTCTGTGTGGCCTTGGGGGGCAGCGGTCACAAGCTGAACTTCAGCAGGTGTCCTGCGGGTAAGGCACTGGACCATGGCACGCCCAGCTCAGTCATTCACTCCACGGACCGTGATCCTCCTGTTGGGAGAACTCGGGTGACACCTAGATGGCCGGTTTGGTGCCCGGCCGCACAAATTCTCTGCTTGCATGGAATTACAGAATAGCAGAACCGGAAGAGGGCAAGGAGACCCTCGTGGGACACCATCTCTCACCACCCCACTCAGATGGCTGTCCAGTTTCTTTCTGAGGGTCTCTAGTGCGTGTTCTTTGTTACTACATGAATGCTCCATTTTTCCCCCTTGAAAGGAACCCAAGGTGGCTTCCATGTTCCTCTTCCTCTTATTTTGCCCTGACATCCACCTTGATAGGTAGGTGAGGCAGGTGAGGCTGAGAGGCAGGTGAGGCTGAGAGGCCATGGCAGCCCCGATGTCCCCAAGAGAGAACTCCCATGGCCCCAGAGAAGCATCCAGATGGCCACAGAGTGATTGGCATTCCCAGCTGCAAGGCTGAGAAAGCGCAGTTGGCCGGGACATGCATTTCTGCTGCCTGAACACGCGAGGGATCATGCCCTCGGCCACTCTGCTGTCCCACTTTCCCTGTTCCCTCCCCAAGGGACTCATCAGGTGTGCCTGGCGATTCCCAGTGAAATGCCCTGAAGTGGGGGGCTGCACAACTGCCAAAATGCACTTCTTTGCCCTTCCAAATTTGTGAGGTGATGCTGGGCACCCAGCTTACAAGATCACAACCGTTTACAAAGTGGTCGCAACAGGGGGCTGCGCGTTTCCCAGAAGAAATGGTGGCTGTGAAGCCGCAAAGCTGCCCTCACCTGGAAGAGAATCTGCAGGATGCCATGAAGGATGCACATGCGTCGCCCGAGGAAGAGGAGAAAGGGCACGGCCAGCTCAATGAAGTGGTTGAAGACCGTCTCGCATTGATGGAACCACCATGGCGACCGGTGCATGTAGTAGGCAACTGGGTTGGGCACAGGCTGGGTCTGAAAGAGAAAGGGAGAGAACACACGCCAGCTGCTGAGGAAGGGAGAAAAGGGAGAGAACCGCCACGTCAGCCAGCCAAGGGCGTCTCTCTTGTTGAGCGGCTTTCCAGAGATGGACCACCAGAAATGCAGGAGAAGGCTGCATAAATGGAGGACATGAACGTTCAGGATGAGGAAGATCGGCCGTGATGAAAGCGGGGAATTGTGGGTGCTGCCTTTCTTGTGAGCCCCGGAGGTCTCAAAAGGAAGGAAGCCACGGAGCAGGTCCTGGCTGCGTTCCTCCTCCCAGGCATCTTTTCTGACAGATCCCATGTATAAATGTATGTCTGCATTTATTTTCAGAATGCATAAACTGCACCAATAGTCCTAAACAGGTCTCTCTGGGCAGTGAATGGTTAAAACGATCAAAGACGGGCTTGGGTCTCTTTCCCAGGGCAAGAAAATGGTCGCTGGCTTCTCAGCTGCTCTGCAGGTGGCCCTGAGGCACTGCTCCCCGTCCTTTTCACTTTTAGCCACTGCAGAGCAGTCTGACCAACACGACACGCTCTAAGCTAAGCGCAGCTCCAGCCCCATAACGTGACTCACACCACACAGGCAGTGCGGGAAACAGCAGAGCGATTAAAAGCAAAACGGGGACAGCCGCCACGCGGAGAGCAATTCATCGCAGCTTATCTTACACGGGCTCCATTAATTAGCCGTGTTTTCAAAAACACTGACAGCAAAACAGAGATGGCTAGGAAGGCCGATGATAATTGAAGGAGACGCGACACATCTTTAAACTGTTTGCAGCTCAAAAAAAAAATCAAGAATACAAACAGTGCGAGGGGAATAAGATTACGCTGCACCTAAGAATTGCTTCCGCTTCTGCTGCCAAGCCCTGTAACTAATGCAAGTCCTTATTAGTCAAGCTGGAATTAATCATACTGTTGCTTCATACGGCTTCGAGCTGGCTGGAGTTCCCTCAGGACAGAAGACCGCATCCTTCCTTCCACTGACAGCGGGGCAGGATGGAGCAAGCTGAGGGGTCACCGTGTCTTGCCAAGGCCCTCCACCAAGGGAGCGGGAGGTCAGGGGAGTCCGGCATCCGGGGTCAAAGAGCTGATGGGCTGTTGGAGACCCTCCCCCAGGGAGGAGCTGCTTTGAGTTAATCTGGTGGTGGAACCTCGGATGATGCTCGACGCCAACTGGCTAGGCAGTCTAGATTTCTTTAACTTGGGCAGGAAAGCGCTCCCTGCATCAGTGCCAGGAAAGCTGCAGGGGGAACATGATGTCGGCGGCGCAGCGAGCAATCCTACCGCACGCAGGTGAGTCTGCAAGTCACAACATTCGGCCTCCGCAACCCCGTACCGGAACCTTCGTGATCAGACACATTGCAGGGTTCTTCTCAGTGCTTTTTTTGTCCCGCTGGCAGTAAGCACACACACCAATCCCAAGCCTGCAGCGGAGCAGCTTCCCAATCACTATCAGATAGCAGATAGCGGACGGACGGACGCAATAGCAGCCTGCAGGCACTATGTTAATGATGATTGCTGCTGATCTGCTACGCAGTTCAAAATCACTTTGTAAAATCCGTTGAAAAAAAGGTGCCGGAACGCCGTTCCCGTGCGTCCTATGACCAAAAAAAGCCCTGGTTCTTCTCATGTCAGTTTTGCTACCTAACAGTGAAAAACACTCTTGACAAGACCCTGCCACCATGGTTTGGTGTCTGTATCAGGAAGACAGAGGAAGGCTCACGTTCTGGTAACCAAGCCGGAAAGCTGTCAAGAACCAAAAGAGGACCGGCCCTTGCAGGCCACAGAGAGGCTGGGCAGGACGGATTGTGGGTACGCGGGTGGGCATGAGGCCACAGAGCAGTTTCCTGGGCCAGTCCATCTTGTAACCAGGGAATGAGCCATCAGCCACACGTGGTTTATGAAGCACCGAGCAGCGGCCGAAGGTACCCTCCGCAACTGACTGGGTCTGACCAAACTGCCTGCGTAGAAGCCGGTATATTCCAGAGTCAAGCAGCTTTCTTCTGTGTTCACTGACAAGCAAAGAAATACCTGAAAGACGCCCCCCCCCCACACACACACTCAGCTGCATCTCAGTGCAAGAAAATAAGCCCAGGCAGGCCACATGCCCAACCCAGAATGCAGCCTCTGCAAGCGGAATGAATTGGAGGCCCCTGGGCCCACACGATGGTGAGATCTACTTGATTTCTATTTAGGTCACAATAACTATTTGTAAATATGCTCCAGTGTGTGTTTGTGTCCTCTTCTTGGCAACTTCAAATTTCTGCCCAGTTCATGGCATGCAGTGAGTCCACACTGGAAATTTAAGACGGGTCCTATAGACTTTGCGTAATGGCAAAGCAAGAGCCACCAGGATGCAGTGCTTAGAGTACTGGACTGGGATCTGGGTGACCTGGGTTCGAGTCCCCACTTGGCCAGAGAGCAAACTGGGTGACTTCGGGACAGCTACTGACTCTCAGACTAACCTACCTTACAGGACCGTTGTGAGGAGAGGATTAAGAGGAGGGTTCTGGAAGCTACCTTGAGTTTCTTGACGGCAAAAACGGTGGGATAAAAACATAACAAAAGTGACGGCTGGCTGGTTTGGTGCCTATTGCAGCACCTGTGTGGGTTTTCCTAACGTCACTCCAGCTTACTTGAAAGGTATGCAAGGAAAGCAGCTGGACAGCCCCCACTCGGTCCTAAATGCGGCCACAACCATGCCTCGAATCGTAGGAATCGCAGGAGATCTGCTTGCACAGCCCCTCAAAACTGTCAGGAACATGCACGACAACTCTCCCTGGCTCTTTCGGCCCCTGATGTCTCCGTGCGTTTTCACAGGAATGCCTCAGAGCAGATGTGCTCGGACCCAGCTGCTGCCAGGAATCTTGCCAGGCCTGGGCTCATGGGCCACTGGTGCCCAGACCTGTTCCATTTGCCAACAGGCGGGTCAAAATACGGACTTGGGATTTGCCCAGAGTTGGCCTGGGGCCAGTGCCTGCACCTCTGCCCCAGCTCTCCCGACAGGAAGCAGGTCTTCACACTCGCCTCCACCCAGAACTGAATGGAGGGGCAGGCGCAGCAGACCGAAGGCTGGGACGGGGCGGAATGGCACGGCTCAAGCGCCCGGCGCCCCAGTACCTCCTCAGCCGGGCTGGGGCTGCGTGGTGAACGTGGGACTCACCCAGAAGGGGCAGGAGGGACCCCCGGGGGCACACCGAAGGGGTGCTTTGGGAGACCTGGCATTGGTGCGCGCCTAAAAAAACCCACGGCGTTGCAGCAGTCGCGTGTGTACGTGTTGCAGCTTTGAGATGGGAGAAAGTCAACTCAAGGAATAGGACGGGCTGAGTTGCCTCCGTCTGCCTGAAACAGGAGTGAAAGCAACTTTTCTCTAGCTTTAGATCAGCCCTTCCCAGCCTGTCGTCTTCCAGTCGGGTTGATCAACAATTCTCTGAAGGAGCAATGCTCTCTGTGAACACTTGAGAATTACTGAGCTTGCATTTGCGCCAAAACGTTGCCGTTTCACACTATGAGGGTAAAGCATGCGTTTTTGATGTGCTTTTTTTTTTAATGTACACTTTCCCCATTTGAACAAAGTGCAGGAAAAAAGAACATGGGAAAGAAGGTGAGAGAATCTGGGTACATGTGAAAACTGCTTGCTCATCTAACCGTAACCTCTAGATCAGTTCAGCCCCAACACATCTGGAAGGTGCCCAGGTTAAGGACGGCTGTTTTAGATTATGCAAACACAGCAGGTGGACTTTTAGAAAAGGAATTCCCTCCATGGGACAGAGAAGCAGGGAATGCCAACTGTTTTGTAAAGAACTTTCATTAAAATAATTTACTTTTAAAGCGAGGTCTGATTAAAAAGGGGGGCCCTTTTAAAAATAAGTGATTTTCAATATTAATCTAAGGCAACATTCTTGCGCGCGCGCGCGCGCGCGCGCGCGCGCGTGTGTGTGTGTGTGTGTGTGAGAGAGAGAGAGAGAGAGAGAGAGAGAGAGAGAGAGAGAGAGAGAGAGGGAGAATGTGTACACACAGACAGAGTAGCAAGAATTAAGTATCTTTCTCCTTCCACCCACAACTTTTGAAAACGGGGTGGTAAACAAACCTAAGGCCAATACCAGTTTTAACATTTGAAACCTTTATGCCGCTATTAAAGCACACAGAGAAGTCTAATTTTGGGTTTGGAGGAAGGAGGGGAGAGGGGTGGTTCTAATGAAACATCAAAATAATTAAGTCTCAAGAGAACGTTTATTTATTTTTTTAAAGCTACCCTGCAAGTTTTTGCTGTGCTGTGCTCTCCCAGCCCTGTCAATACCAATATTCAGCTCATGCAAAAACACACTGGAATCTGCCAGAGCTGAGACGGTGCAGGGAGCCAAAGGGATGTCTGTTTGGCTCGGGTGCCAGCATGACCGTAAAACGCTGGCAATTTACTAGAGACGTGGTGCCGCACCACTTTCCCCAAGGAGCAAAATAAACTTCAGATGCAGAGCACATACATTTATTGTATAGGGAAGCAAAATGGCGTGCGTCTGAGTAATTCCACTGGTTCGTTTATAACTCACTCTCTTGGTCTTATTTATACAAAGGTTGTCATTTTAAAGTAGAAATACTCCTTCTTTCCATGTCATTATAATTTTTTACCAGGCAAATGCGAGAGGGGAAGGCCATGATTCAGCCCCAGGTAAGCACCACTGAATCCAGTGAGAGGCAAAGTTCCACGTTTTAGTCTCTCCAGTGTAATTCAAAGCATCTAATGTGGGCCAGATTGCATGTTTTATTAAATAAGAGCTTTAAAATAAACTGAACATACAGGGCATTGGAGAATTTGGTCCTCACCTTCAAAACGATGTAGAACTTCCGTCTACTGCAATGCCTTTTTACACAAATGACTTGGAAGGACCATGTGCCCTGCTTTTGTTTCCATGCAACGCACTACTGCATGCCTACTGCAGAACGCAATCCCCGGAGAACATCACCTGCTTTTAAAATTTCTAACACAGA